CCAAAATCGCTTAGGCGGTTACAGCGCCAAAAAAGAAGAAGAAGAAGGTATCCTTTACAACGATACCAATTTTTTAAAAATCTGTTTGTATTTTTTTTGTTTAAAATATTACTTTCTATAAAAAAAGGCATTTTTTGCTTTTAAGATTTATTTCTCAAATTTTTATATACAAAGTGTACAAGTATGCACACCCGAAAAAAGGGCGTTGTTTAATTGGCTTTATAACGATTTTAAAAATCGGTTAGTATTTTTTTTGTTAATTTTTTTATAAGCTGAATTAAGTTGTGTTTATGTTTGCAAACAAAAAGATTGGGAAGTAAATGAGTTAATTTACAAAGAAATAAATATGTTTAAAAAATGCCTTTCCAAGGATATCTCACAAGTCTAAATCGGAATAGTTGTGGCTCTGTTATGCAAGTTTTTCTAAACCAATCTTTGAAAAAAACTTCAAAATCAGCATCAAAAATCTCTTTTTTTTCAATATTTTTATGCAAATTTGTTATCTTAAACTGTTTTTAAAAAAACTATTTTTTTCACCAACCAATTTTTTCATTTGTGGAAAAAAGCAGTACCGATTATTTTTTGTATGGGGAGTGATGCAGTCTAATAAATATATATCGTTTTTTTTTTCTATCCTACACTCACATTTGAATAAACGGAAGTATATGCGTAATAAAATACCTTAATTTGATCTACAATAACTGCAGTAATGCTGCATAATTGAAAACTAATAGCGTTGCATGAATGCTTAAACTTTCTTATACTCCTCGGTGTAGCTCAAAAATAACTATGTTTTGAAATGTTATTTATACATTTAACAGCTGCTTGATTTAAATACGTATCGAATTAAGCAAATGTTTTGCAATTAAGTAGTGAATGACTTTGCATTTATTGTGGACTAGGTAAAACAATTAAACTTGTCTAGCTCTATGATTTAGCTGTGTATTAAGTAGCAGAAAATTACGTATAACAGCAGTAATTAAGCAAAAGAAAATTGAATTTAATCGGCTTGCATTTACTTTGTGCAAAGTTAACAATGCGTACTTATGTATGTATGTATGTGCAAGTAGCGACAGACTGATAGGTGGAAGCAAATAATAGGCAAAAATTAACAGTCAGCATACACTTTTGTATGGACAACCGTATGTTCACATACATATTAACTATTTAATTACAGTCGATAGATATAGGCAGACAGAGAGCTACTACAAAAAAAAAAACAAAAGTAGTAGACAGGTCAGCTGGATAAACTCATCGATTCGCAAGTCAAAAGGATACAAGAGGATTGGCAGTATGTGCACATTTAAACTAACATATTCACAATATGTATGTGCATACATATTATGTATGTGAGCTTGACGTGCCAAGCATGCAGTTAGCCAATTACTTTAATTAACAAAATCACTTTTCTAATTAAGGCATTCATGCGCCAACACCTACAACACTTTTGCACTATAGTTGGATAAAACAAAAATAAGTATCAAATACCACTCCAGAGATAATTTGTTATGATATTGTGAAGAA